CGATAACTTAAATGTAAATCTCAAAAATGGAATTTTAAATTCCTATATGAAACAGAATAATGCAAGTGCAGGTCTGAAAAGGAAAACATCTAGATAATAATAATAATAATAATAATAATAATAATAGTAATAATAATAATAATAATAATAATAATAATTTCTCTGCCAAGTCATTGCTTAGCAGACTAAAATCTAAGGATGCTAAAGATGAAATAATTCATTTTCTGGAGGGGCCCCTCAAGGCTTCCCACCTCCTGATGAAGCAGCATCCAACTGCAGTTACATCACTGCACAGGTTGCCACAACAGAGGCCTCTCTGACACAAGCCAGCCTCACTCTGTCCCCTGCTGCCAGCAGCTCCTCCACAGATGGCTCAGAAAGCTGATCTGGTGGGCACTGAACACCCCTGGGTCACACCAGGGATTGCATCACCTTAAGCTGCTCTAGGAGAGACAACCTGCACTTGCTCATGGTGCTTCTTCCCTTTCAAACTGTGCTGCATCCATGAGGAGGGGAGCACAGAGAAAACTAGAAAAATGAAAAGGAGAGGAATCAAAAAGGGGAAATGTAACCTGGGAGCTTTTTGGAAGCTGTCTGGTGCCCACAGTCTGCCAGCCAGGGAATAGATCTCTGTGATATTTTCATCAGCAGAGGAAGCACCACATCTATCTCTGCCTCTCTGCAACTCTCCCTCTCCTCTCAGCATTCTGTGCAGCAGCAGCACTGATGGGGCTGCTAATGATGGCTTTGTTTTTTAATGGGAAGAGAGAGATTTGGCACTAGCATAAATATAGCATAAATATAGCATAAATATAGCATAAATATAGCATAAATATAGCATAAATATAGCATAAATATATATAGTATAAATATAGTATATTAAATCCTGGCTCTGCAGGTATAACTTGAAACATAAGGCAAGTCTCTGCTTTTTTGTTTTTTAATGGCAAACAACAGTTTTCCAACAGGTGGGAGCTGATAACTTACTCAAGCCAAGTCTGCCACATTTTTCTAATTACAAAGAGGTCCTGCACCTGGAATTAGTGTAGGTTAACAGAAATGTTAACCAGGTTGGGCCACACTAAGGTAACTTTTCAACCTTAGGAACTCCTGCTCTCAGAGCTCTGTCTTGAGCAGCTGTTTTCACAGCACAGCACAAGGCTGGCAAGGCAGGCAGATGAGAATCTGCTGAGCAGGAGCAGGCAGAGTGCAATCCATGGCAGCATCAGGGAGGGCCAGGCCAGGGATGGAGGAGCTGCACTGCCCAGCACCAGGCTGCAGCTCCAGCTCTGCTTCCACAAAAGCTCTCTTGGATTTTTTTGTGCACAGCGCTGGTGGAAAGCAGCTGAAACACAAACACAGGACAGCTCCAAGCCACCTGGCCAGATATCCAGGCTGGGTCCCTGCAGAAAAGGCAGGATCTGAAAAGATCTGATGGGTGCAAACCTCCCCCTACCCTGTCTATAGCCCCCATTCCACTCTTACTGAAATGGTGAAAACTAAAAAGCCTTATTCAGCCGGGACAGCCAGAAGGGAAACATGACAAAACCAGCTCAAAACTCAGCAGAAATGTTGAAAGTAAGCAAGCATTTCCAATCAGTTCCTTGAACATCATTACCAAAACAAAGAAGTGTTGATCTAACCGGGTTAGCACACAACCAGCGCTAAACAGGTGGCTGCAGGTAACAATTACTCGGAGAATGTTATCTTTATGTATCAGCCTCATAACTCTACACAAGTCGCTAAATATTATCTTTATGTATCAGCTTCATCCTGGGAGCTCCACACAAGTCCCTACACTACACCTGAATGTTCAAGGCTCATGAAGTGTTTGCTGCTGGCGTGACTGGAAGGCACCAAAGCGAGTCCAGCTCTCTGCTCTCCCTGCGGACACCAAGGCAAGGGAGTGAGCCAGCCGAGCAATAACACAACACCTGTTCTTCGGGATCCTCAATCCCCAGTGCAATATTACATATCCCAAGCACAAACACTAAATCCTGGGCAAAAATGGGAGAGCTGGGAGGAGAAACAACGAGAGCAGAGGCTGAATGCACATGCACAGCTCACAGCTGCTCCGTGCTGACCCGAGGGAATGTTCCCATGCCTGTGCAGCGGGATTTGCCCCGCAGGCGCTGGGCACGGCTTCTCCTGTGGAGCCCAACCGGGGAGACCCCCAGGCC